ATCCCTAGAGGCTCCTCCCAACCTCGGCCATTCTATAACCCCACATGGGGATGTGCACATCTGAGTTTCCCCTGCTGCTCTCCAGTCAGCCCTAGTTTCTGCTGGAGATGAACTTGAATGTAGTCTCTAGCCAAATGGTCTTCTTGAGAAGATGAACCCCAAGAGTGGTTGTGTTGTCTCTTAGTAGCTTTTAATAACCTGCACTGATGTTCTATGGGTAAATGCTTGCCTGTGTTATGACACTCATGAAGACCAAGTGAAAGCTGCATCACTCCTTTGTGAGGAGCTGGCTGGTTCTCCCACTTGCATCTTGAGTTGTATCAGTGTGCCCATATGTTTCTCTGGGAGGCATTCAGGGTTTCTAATGTAAAATAATAGTCTGAAGTCCAGCCAGAGCTCACTGCTTACGAGGGCTTCCTTTCCATAATGGATCCTATTAGTAGGAAATGCACCTCTAACTGATACTAGCTTGGTTAATTGACTGGAGGCTGCTTCTAACATCAGAAATGATTATAGCCTAAAAATACATCACTCCTTCCCTTTTTTAATGTATATACAGTGTTTTAACTGCTCAGAAAGACTGGTGTTGAGATGAAATGTCCTTTAAGCCCTAAGCTGTAGGTAAAATGATGGAGCAGAGATGAGAGATCATTTACAGGACTATTTGAAAAAATCTGCAAAATCCAGCAAGCTGCTGTAAAAAGGATGTATGATACTTGCTGCGTGTGCAGCAGCAGAACGGGCTGTAGCAGAAAGTCTTACAGGTTTAGGCTGTGCATTTCAGGACACTCTTGTCAAATCCTGTTTCCTAGGTTTTAGTTGTGAATGTGGTAGCAATGAGGAAAGTAATAAAAATGCAAATGTGGTACAGTTGGAGCTAGTCATTTGTGGGTGGAAGTGGACAAACACCTTTGGCTTTGATTCTTTTGTTTCCCTTGAAACAATCTGTCTCCTTTACCAGCGTGGCCAGGGAAGTCCCCCCATCCCACAGACATCTACAGAGTGAAGCAGCACGGGAAGCGCTTGGAGCCCTGGTTTAGCTGCACCCTTCTCCAAACCTGGCCTGCAGTAGAGCAGTGACCCTCTGCCTCGGTGGGGTTTCCTCATGGCCCTGCTCTGGCGCTCTGGATAGGTGTTTAGGAGTTGCAATCTGGGAGGCCTCTTGTCCCTGAGGATAGTGGCTCCTGCTGAGCTGACAAGGAAACGGGCACTGCTGGTGGGATCATTTATGCTTTGGACTTCCCAGATGCTGCACGTGGATTCAGCCGGATGGCAGCATACGCTTCTGTCGTTACTCATCTGCCTGCATTTGGGGTTTAAAAATGAGTTCTTGGCACTGTTCTGCATGTCAAATCTCAGATTTTTTTCTAAACAAAAGGGAACATGGATTTTTCCTCCCCAGAGTCTGATTCTGTGGATCTGTTGGAGCAGCAGCCTTCTAACACCTGCGTCAGAAAACAGCGTGTGGGACCCAGCATTAGCTCTGCAGCATGAAAGGGTAGATGTGGGTGGAGGTTTCTGTATTGAAAATTCACAAGGGCTTCTATTTATTCCAGGAGAAAAATCTCTCTAGCCAGGTTCTTTTGTTTGTATCAGGTGGAACCTGTCAGGGTGCTCTCAGGTTTTTAAGGATACCTCTTGAAAATAGGTGTTCTTTTTCCTTCTCTTTTAATGAAGGCACCTGCTATTTCAGTCCCTTGCAAAGTAAAGGACAGCAAAGTTCCCTTCTCTTTTCTTGTCAGCTTCTTTGTTTCAGTTCAGCCTTTTTGTTTTAGTTCAGACTTTGCTGAAGTGGATGGTGATGTTCTGGGGGGGAGGGGGTGCTCTGTGATTACGTAGCTGTTTTTAATAAGCTTTTCTTAACATTAGGTGGTTTGCTCAATCCATGAGCTCCTTTGCTCACTTGCAAATACTCCGAGCTGGTTTTATTGATAACTGGCAGTGACTGGGGCTATTCCACCTTGCTGCAAGGTTAACGGGGTGCTTAGTCCATGAATTGAGCAAATTGCTGCTCAGTTTCCATATACTAACATTTGGTTGTGCGACAAGTGGTGTGAACTGAATACTTCATTCAGCCACTCTAAGAGAGAACTCTAATACCTTTTTTTTGCTGCTAGGAATCATTTTCTGACAACCTTACTTGTGTTTTCCCTTAGTTCTGGTTGTATTGCTCCTGGCTCCAGGCCCTGACATTATTGCTGATGTTATTAGTGTTTGCACCATATCGTTCATTAAAAGACGCCAGAGTCTTTGATGGATGAGGCTGTAGAGGTGACAATTCTCGAGTTCCCTGTTGTTTGTCTGCTGGGAGGTTAAGCAGGAGTGATGTTCAGTCCGAACTGTCTATTTGGGATGTTGTGGGTATCTTTTTTTCCTTCCAAGAGTAAAATCTGCTCAGGGAACACATTTTCTTCAGCTGTAGCACATCAATAAATAGAGCCATGAGGCTCCACTAAGAAATTCAAATGAATTCCTAGCTCTCCCTATCTGCAGGTTCTCTCCATCCACGAGCAGGGAGTAGAGGACAGCTCCTCAGTCTTTTGGCAGCAAAGTACTTCAAGGGCATGAAAAGATGAGTGTTGTCACCACTTGCTTGATTTGCTGTGGAAAGATAGAAACTTCCCTCAGATTTATTACAGAGCACTCTGCTAAATCACCAGGACTTGAAGTCTGCATTGTGCAAAGTTAACTTTGTGTTCTCTCCTGAAATCCTAAATAACAGGTATGAAAGGTTTATTAAGCGCATAAGTAAAACCCATAGGGCCGTGAATTTCATTTCCAAGAAGCAATGTCTGAAGCCCATCACTTGCCAAATAGAACAAGTCAGGTATTGCAGTTCAGAGAAAAAAAAATGATTATTTTGTTTACAGGCTTTCACATCAGGATGGAGGAGTGAAAAAAAATACCATTTCTGTAAGGAAAAATGATTAGTGAAATAAATGTAGTTCTGCCAGCCAGTAATGCGATTTTATTTATTGGTGCTTTTTTTATGTTTGAGTTTGGTGTTTCCTCACATACTGCAGCAACTGACACAATATGTGGGCACAAATGCAAATAACCTTTAATTCAGAAGGACTTTTCTTCTATCTGAAGGTAGGATCTTGTATTTGCACTTAAGTGAGTCACTGCATTTTTAATGTTATGATGTGTTCCATCACACATATTGTGTCCTTCCAGGAGAATTAACCTGGCATGAAGTAGTAGAGTGGATGGGCCAGGAAGTGTCCACTTAATGCACAGTGTTTTGCTTTGAGTAGCTAAAACTTCTATTTCTGGGTTAAATAGTTTTTCTGGATAAGAAAGTTTAATCCTTAAAACACTTTTTTCCCATACTTGTGTTACTTAAAATCCTCACATATTAATTTTGTCTGTTTAGACATCTCCTATCCATAAATAAGTACTCCAAAAATCTAGCTTCTCAGAGAAGTTTGCAATGTAAACACCAATGAAATCTTGTGCTTCTACCTTAAAAAATAGTTCTGAGCAAGCAGTGAGTGAAAGGATGTGGAAATTGGAGCCCAGCTTTCTTCAGTAAGGTTCAGACTGTGTTACTGGTCATTAAAAAATATCTTCCTGCACAATCTCTCTGAAACTGCAGACAAAATGTTATTCAAAAGGGGTAGGAAAGTTAGACTGTGTCCTTAAATGTCTTTATTTTCCTCTTGCACTCTCAGGTGCCCTGATGAATTGTGTGTTTTCCTTGAACCTCTGCGATTCCCCGCAGTTCTTGTTTCTGAGTCACCTTTAATCGTTTTCAGAGCTCTTGCTCATGTTCAAAGGAATCCGTGTGTGTGTTTAGGAATGACTAATTATTTTCTCTGTGAAGAACACAAACCTTGGCAAGTGAAGAGCACTGGTTTCATCAGTGATGTTAACAGTTGGTGGGACAGACTCAAACTGGAAGCGTTTATCTGAACTTCTTGATGTCTCTGGCACAAAAGAGACTTGATGCGAAATTGGCTCAGAGTTTTTGAACTCAGAATGTTCTCTGGTGCTTGTTTGTTGTTTATCCATAACTTCTCTAATATTGCAAAAAAAAAAAAAAAGCCAGAAAGAATTGACAGATTACAAGTTCCATGAAATATCAAAGTAATTACTTATACTTTCATGCTTCTTTCTGCAGACATGAAACAATAAATGCTCATAAAAATCTATGCGGTGACACATGCAGCAGAGGATTCATAATTTTTCATGTGCTGGGGTTTGTTTCTCTTTTAAACTCTATGCTAATATATGATACTCCTGCATTTGTTTGTAGCTTAAACTCAAAGCACTTTACTGTGGTTGTAAAGGCTGCATCTGTTGGAAGCCAAGCTTATGTGTGATGCTATAGGTTATATGTGTAGAGTTAGTTAAGGAAACAGCTTTTTCTTGCATGGCATTTGGCAGGGATTTAATTTTGATAGTGCATTGGATTGGCCTTTTAGGTGAGTTGTGAAGAGCATACTTTCTAATCTGCAAACTGTTTGGATGTTTTAATTATTTCAATGATGTGACTTTCTTCTTGACCTGCCCAGATGTTTGGAACAGTTGCTCTTTTTCCACTCAAGAGGTGGTTGCATTTTGGGTACAAGAAGGCTTGTTCCCTTGTCTCTGGGCTCTGTGCAGAGACATGGAGCACTGGATCTGCAATGATCAATGGTCTATGATCAATGATCTGAGACATGGAGCACTTGGATCTACATCTTGGTGTCCCTTTGGCTTTCAGATGAGGTTGACACTTGTTTCTTAAAATATCCCAGAGACCTACATTATGATGTTACTACTGAAAAGTCTATTGTGTTGGGGAGTGTTGTGAAAAGTGAGGCAAAAAGGTGTCACAAACTCCTGTAAGAGCAGGTGCTGGTGGGAGGAAGGATAAGATGCAGAGTTGCACAAATGTGGAGTTTGTGTGGCCTGTTGCGTGTTTGGCCGCTCTGTCGGACGTGGGTGAAACGTTCCGCGGTGCTTTGAACACGGTGCTTGAAACTAAATGCTTGTAACTCTGTGTCCTTCAACAGAAGGAGCGTGAGCTTGAGCAAGGAGGCGGCAGAGGCAGCCGGTCCCAGGAGAGCGCTGGAAGGAAGGAGGAGAGCGAGAGGAGAGAGATGATCACCGCGGCTCTGAGGGAGGCGCTCACGAAGCAAGGTGAGGTTCTGCAGCAAGCAGGCTCTGCACAGGCCTTGAGCTCTTAGTGGTAGATGTTTTTAACAGAGCAGGCAAACGGCGAGTGTTCTGTCCTTTAAAGGAAGATACCCCCGGACTGTCTGCTGTGGTTGGAAGTAGGACAGAAGTTAGGAAAGGACCTTCTCAATCTGATTTGTAACAGGGAAGCCTCTAAAGTAGGGTACACCAAAGATGCTTACAACTGTCTGGGTTTGCAGGGTTTGCTTCTGCTAAATCAGCTCTGGCAGAGGATAATACCACGTGCATTTAGCTCCCAAAATGTAGGTTCCCTAAAGGATATTTGAAGATCAACTTTGCTTCTAACTTTTGCATTTTAATCTTCTTTTTATTTTGGTTTCAAACTGATTTCATACTGAAACTCTTATTTCCAGGAAAAAGTCATTCAAATTAATTTTAATTATCCACTAGAGGAAAATGGATCATTAGCTCTCCATGGGCTACAGAGAGCAAAGTTAATGAACATAATGCCCTTAAAAAGAAAAGAACCCCCTCCTCAACCCCAAGATAGGCCTAAGCAAGTGTGGCAAGAGAGAGACTGAAGCCCTGCAGTACGAAAGCTGCAGTTCTGAGTGCCAAAGCCAGGAGAAGGGTTATGTGAGTTCCTGGGCTGCTGTCACTGCAGTTAGAGACTGATGGGAATTAGTCTCATTTCCCTTCTCCCTTAGGATGGGAGCGCGCTCAGTTTTCTTGCCAGCTAAATCGATAGTCTCTCTCCTGATGCTTCTGAAAAGGCACTTTTTGCTCACTGCAATCCAGCCACCTCCCTGCAGGGCTGGGCTTTGAGATTCTGCTCGTGTCCCTGGGCACCTCCAGCCGAGGAATCCAGCACCTTCCTCGCCAGGATCTCGGCTGTTCTTCAGCCTGAGCCCTTGAAGGGCTGGACAGAGCACAGGTCACCTCCGAGCTGCTGACACGTTTGGTGTTTTTTGTTTGTTTGTTTTTTTGCTAACTTTAGTACAGCTATCATACATTTGTGGTCTGAATAAAAGAATCTCTAAAGCAAGGCTTAGCAAAAAGTCACAGTGACTTTGCTGCTTTTCATGTCCATAGCTCTACCAGTGCTGGTTGGAAACTGAGGTTATCAGGTGGCTGGTTCGGTACATCTTTTTGTGGTCATCTTTACTACTATTTCATGCAAAAGTTTAATCTTCCTCCTGCCCACAGGCATGTTTGGAGGTGAATGTGGTTGGCAGGGGTGGAGGGCATGGACAGCTAGAGTCAAAGCTGCCTGGAGATGGGCTGTGAGGAGGGAACGTGCTTGTCTGCTGTGTGCCGAGAGGTTGCGGTGGTCACTGACCCATCATAGTGTTTCCCATGTCCTCCAGAGTTGTTGGCTTTTGCTTTGGGATACAGGAGTATTGGAAGGCACGTGGAGACTTCCCTACCATGATTTGTTGGCACAAAGGCAGGTTTCCCACCAAAATCTGGTTTCCTTGTGATGTTCCAGGGATGAGAATTCATTAGTCAGTGATAAACTCTATTTTGTAGGCACTCTGCTCTTTTTGACATTGAATGTGGTGCCAAAATTGGATCAACAGGATGGGTTCAACGCATGTAGCTGTGCAGCTTCAAAGGCTCCAATCTGTGCCTGTATCTTTCCAGTTACAAATGACTCCTAATGATGTGACCTCCCTTCTTCTGGTATTCACATCATCATTTAATATTTGCTCTGCCTTGTAGAAAGGGAATCTGCCTTCTCACATGTCAGGCAGCCCTTTTTCCTGGAAGTGCACAACAAAACAGACCTATATGGCTATAAAAATAAAACAACTCCTTTTCCTTGACACCATGCCGAAAGAAAAGAGCAAGTCCACTAGGTTTGAAAGATCGTATGATTTATTTAGCAAAAACTGGTTGTTTTGCCTATAGGTTCAGTGATGTTTCAAGATTATCCCCTCCGGCATAATTAGCCCAAGAGAAGGGGGAAATGCAGAGCTAGTAAATAGGAAGAAAGTTCTTCCTTTATGCTGTAGTTCCATAGTAGAAATTTGCCTTTGAACAGCATCTCTTCAAATTATTGGAGCACTGTCTCTTTTTCTGTCTATTTTCACTGTCTATTTTCAGGCAAATTTATTTCGCTTCTTGTGGGTAAAGTGAAGTGAGTATTGCTTAAGCAATGGTTTTATTTTAGGGCTGGCACAACATTCTGGCTAAATGTAACCTTAACTATTGGATTTTATAGGTTCAAGGCCTTTCGTTGTCTGCTTGCAAATACTTTTATTAAAGGTGCTCTGTAATAATAGTTGCTTTTTGAAAGCTGTAGCCAATCTTGTGCTGGGAAACGCTGACTCCCCCTGTGTCAATGCCCGGCCTTGCATAAAATACCAATTCAGCACCAACTATTTAGTGCCTCCAAGTAACAAATATAGCTTAAGAGAACGGCTGACAATTGAAGTATTTGGCTGTGCATGTCATACTGGCAGTGATGCTGCTTTGCTCTATTTGTGCTTTAGTAGATTGTATCTGTTTAGGTAGATGACACAAAATAAACTGAAAATAGAAACACGCCTTTGCTATTAGCGTGGCGATGAGCAGCCGTAGCCCAGCTGAGGTGCTGCTGCTGGTCTCATTTGTTTCTCTGGTTGGTTATAGGCTGTCTAAACAGTCCCTGCTGGGCTGGCAGTCCTTGTGCTTGGTCTAGGTACAAGGAAATTGGGGCTCTGTTTTTTGAGAACTCCTCCCAATTTGTCAGGCCCTTCACTATGTTTCAGGAAACACATTTAAAATCCTACCTTTAGCTTGGCAGGGAGCCCTCAACTGCTGTCTTAATAGGAAAGATGACTGCAGAAAGTCTTTTGTGAATCACCAGGGGTTCCTTCCATGTCCTCTATCAACAGCGTTTATTTTACTGGTGCAAAAACCTGATTACCTTCTACCTTGTCCTGCTGCTCCTATAAAGTAAGCACATCAGTAATGCAGAGACCTCTGCTCCGTTCTGGTGGTTCATCATTAATGAATCTACCCACATTTTGACTCGCCAAATGTTTTGCTGGTGCTGCCAGCTTCCACCATCCCTACAGAGTTTCAGGCAGGCCTTCAGCTTCTCTTTGGTTTGCTTCCCTTCAGTAAGACACGAATAGAAACTACTATTCTACTATATGCAACAGTGCTTCCTGAAATTTTATGGTATGTAACATAATGTACCAGGATTAATGTTTTTTAGTGGCTGAATTGCCTAACATGCTCCAAATTATTCTGTTGAGCATGCACTATCCATATCAGATGGGATATTTGCTGGCTCTTCTTGGACCACGTCTTGTAGCTGTTGTTCTGAGCTCTTCTGGTGACCCCAGCTTGGTGCTGAGCTTTTAAACGTCCTGACTTTGGAAACAGGACTGACTGCAAAATGATATTCCCTGGAGATTTGTGCTGGTGGATGCCCCGCTCGGGCAGATGTCCCCGTGCATCTCCGCCTGTGGCACCCTTGGACTCCAGGTGGCACTAGCAGCCTGCGGCTGCGTCCAGGATTAGCGACGGTGGCGAATGCAGCGCCTGAAACTGCCTCCCATCGAGGCCAGAATCCAAATGCTAGTCATTGAAGTGTTAAAAATTAGTTGGCAAAGCACCCAGCTTGTCACACTTGAAGACCTGTAAGCAGAATGAATGCAGTGACTGGAACAAGGCAAAGTTAAGTCTGCTGGTTTTTCATGAAGTTCCTTATGAAATGTCTGTGTAAGTAAAGAATATATGAAGAAATAAAGAATATGAGATTAATTTGAGCCTGATTTTTCCCTCATGTTGTGACAACTAGCTGTTGGAACTGTGTAATGCAAGGGAAAATAAAGAGAGGTAGTACCTTGTCCCCAAGAAGTAAGATTAAGTCTTGGGGTGTGCTGACTAAGGGTTTTTGAAGACTCTGAGCAACAGTGGGAAGGAAACTGAAACTTCTCCTGTCATGCTCAGGAAACTTAAGCCCCATTGCCCATATCCCACTTGTTTTTATTTCAGTATGGAACACTGAAAGAATTTGAATGGGCTCTGTTCATGCGCGGCGTGGGGTTCCTAATTCCCTGCCTGGTTTTAGTTTTATGGCTGTCTCGTGGACGCTGGCTCAAGCGCAGCAGTTTTGCTGCAGCTTTCAAACCGCTCCCCAACGCGATGGAGACCGATTCCTGGTGTAGCACCGAGCTGCACTTCCCGGCCTTTTAACTAGCCCTCTTGTAAAATGGTAGGAAATTGGAAACTCTTTTCCTGTAAACATTCTCCTAGTGTGAAGTTCCTAGTGTGTTCTTCTTTTTGAACCAAGTTTCAGCTTTAACTCATAATCATTGCTTCAAACCAGAAGGCTTTTTTAAGCAGACTGCTTGATAGAACCATGCTGATTTGTCAGCTGCATATTACTTTTCCAAGAAGAAAGCTTTCTGAAAGTCATTTGAGTTCTTAAGTCTAATATGACATCAGATTTTCTTTGCAAGGCTTATTGTGATTGCCTTTGAACAGAGGAGGACAGTGAATTCTTTTTCTGACACCTTTGGGGGAGTTTCAACCACAGATCTGCTTCATTCTTTCAGGATTCAATCCTTTTGTGTTTTGTTTTCCAATAACTTCCTCTAACAGAGGACATGGTGGTGCTGATTTGTACTGGGAGGTGCAGCTGGGTTTTCTTCCAGACTTTTGGCCACATCAGAATAGTCAAAACTAGAAAAGTAAATAGCATTATGAAGTTATGGCATAGGGCTGCCTATTGCAGTGTGCACATATAATGATATTGCATCTAGTACGGACCGAGTTGCAGAAATATGTTCATCTTGGCTGTGTGTCTGCTTTCTGAATTAGAATAAGCTGACGCAGTTGCTCATCAGTGCAAATTCATCATACTTTGTGGCTTGGAGAAACCTGCTACTTCTATGAGGCTGGTAAAAATGAGCAATGTAGTAAAAATAACCAGAAGATGAAGATATCCTGCGATTTAGTGTGGACGCAGCACTGTCCTGTCTCGTTTCCAGGGGCTCAGAATTCAGCAGGGTCCCTCAGTGATTTCTTTGGATTTCAGAAAATGTTTTTAAGCTATTCCCGATGTAATGGAGCTGCAATGCTGCAGGGTGACGCAGGGTGTCTTTGCCAGTGGCTGTGCTCTGAACTCCACCTGGATCGTTAGGGCAAACCTTCACCACGTGGTTATTGGCTTGGTGTTAGTGGTCCTTCTTGCTTCCAAAAACTTGTCCCAGAGCTTAATATATGCCTCTAATAATAGTGAGTTATGACACTGATTTTTAGTGAAATTTGGCAGGTTATTCAAAATCCATGATCTAGTGCAGATCAGCTAGCACAGGTTTCTGACTAGAAGTTTCTGTGCTTTTGGTAAGGTGTTGAGTTATTATCATCCTGCCTGTAATTTAACAATGCTTTGAATATTGGACTATGGAAGAAAAACCTTAAGGTCCCTGGTAGTTTTGTAGGGTCTGTGGACAGAGTATCAGCTAGATAGCACGCTGCTTGGCAGGTGTTATATTCAAATATTCACTTACACTTATGGCTTGCAAGTAATACCTCTTAAGAAGAGCAAAGAAGCAGCTTGTCCACGGTGAGCCTTGGCATGATATAGATGCAGACCAAATAAAACTGCATGTTTGTATAAACATATACATGTTTGTTTCACCATTTGTGAGAGAGCTTTGCCAGGGTTGTAACGTGTTGCAGCTGCTGGAAGAGATTTGTTGTTCGTAGGAATCCGAGATGCAGAATCAGAACTGAGGAGCCTCTCAGATTGGTTCTCTGATGTGTTTGCCCCTACATTTGGTCTCAGTCCTCCATGTGTCTGGTGTAACCCTTGGTAGTTTCTTCTTTAAGCCTGAGTTGCTTTGCTGCCTGTGTTACTAGCCAGCAGTAAGAAAATGCTGGAAGACATAGACTTCATGGACATGGAGGGACTTTGACTAAAGAGGTGTGTGAGGAGCACCAGGATGGGTGCAAAGCTTTATCTGGTGTCGCTGCTTCTGGTTCAGGTTCTGACAGGCACGGCAAGGCCAGGGTCCCCGGCGTAGCTCCCTGCATGAGCAGCCGAGGCAGAGGAGGCAGCTGGGCCGCTCGCTGGGCTGCGTTTTAACCAGCTCTCTGGCCACGTGCTGCTGCCAGAAGTCGCAGCTCCGGTTCCCGGCAGAAACAGCAAGTGAGATGATTAAGGCCCTTCTCGTTTTTAAAGCTGGCTGAAGTCAGAGAGTCCCTGTTTGGGTGTTGAACGTGTACATTTTTCTTGGCCTTTATAGGAAGCTGTGGGCGCTCACGTGGTGGAAGCTGCTCCAACTGTAGGAGCAAATGCTGCAACTTTGGGCTCTGCAGTTTGGCGCCTTGCTCAGTTCAGCTGGCTCCTCTCTTCCCTTAAATGGCTCAGTAGCGGAGTTAGGCAAGCGGGTTCTATTTTCAATGTGATTTTAAGCTAACACCCATTTTAAAAAAGCCATATGCGAAATGCAGAAGTGTGGGCAGGGCTCTGCTGCTGGACAACAGCAAGCAGTTTGGTCTGAAGAACTGCATCCGAGGCAGGAGGAAGGGGCCCTCCGGAGTGCCGTGCACACAGGGCTTCCACTAGCACAGGGAGGTCCCATTTGAAGCTAGGCCTTGCTGGACAAGTTTGTCTGCAAGAAATGCAAAGCAAATAGGCAGGACAGATCTCAGGTAGGTTGAGGAGAGATGGTGTAGCCACGTACAGGGATGTGGAGTCCTTGGTTGCACCTCTGACGGGTGTCTGAGTTGGAATTCCCGATGGGGTTTTCCAGGTCCCATCCAGTCCTTTCGATGAAGTGTCTCCAGTGTCGTGTGTGGCTTTGGAGAACACCAGCTCCACATTTTAAGCACTGGTTGTGTTTTTACTAATGCTGCTCTGTTCCTCCTCCTCCTCCAGAGGAAAGGCCTGGATGCTCTGCTGGGTGAAATACCAAGGCTTTCTGGCTTGCAGCAGTTCTTTCTTCCTTACTAGTTTTTGTTTAGCCCTAAGCATGTATGGGGGGTTTTAAAGGCTGTGCATTTTGAGAAGGATGAAATATCTCTTCCTATGGAGCTGGAGGGAGGAAGGGCTTGGAACGGCCCAACCTTGAATTTGCTGAAGCTTCATTTAGCCGGGCAGTCAGTCCAGTTGCCCTCTGAAGGGAGGTTTCCCACGGCTTTTTGCTGCCAGGCGCCCTGCTCGTGCTGCCACCAACCCCCGTGCAGCCTCCTGGACAGGAACCGACCAGACTGAAATGAAACCTGTCCAGCCACCCCCGGTAACAGCAGAACCAGCACGAGGGGACGGGAGCAGAGACAGCCGGGGGGACCGAGCAGCCCGGTTGGATTCGAGTGCTGGAGATGCCGCGTGACTTCTTGCTAACCGTGTGCATCTTGACACGTTTAACTGGAGCAGCTGTTGTGGCACCTGCTGTGCGGCCGCTTCCCGCTGCCTCGGTGCCCTTGGAGTGACAGGGCTGTCTGCCGGGGCGCTGCCGGGCAGGGAATTGTGCCCCTTTGGTGGGGACAGGGCATGGCAGCTCCTCCTGCTGACCATCAGGGTGGTGCAGGTTGGGGGAAGGAGACTTGCTGCATAAACTGTCCCTTAGAAGTGTTGGCATCAGCCTGAAGGCGCTTGCTGAAGTGATTTGGGGACATGTAGGGCACTGGTATGTAAATTCTGCCGTGTGCTGCCTGAATGATGCCTTGAGGCTTCTCAAATCCCTCTTAATGCTGATTTTGAGGTGACTTCCTTTAATCTTTCATATATGGTTCTCTTAAGCAGATTTTTCAAAGAGGAAAATAACCTAACTCATGCAGTTTAGGTAATAATAGGACTTAGTGCTTAGCAAACATTGTGGAATTAATCCTCTTGGACCAATAAATTTAAATGAAGTTGTGTTAGTCCTGGCTGCAGAGTGCGGAGAGCTTCCTCGTGCGCGTGGAGGAGCGGAGCCCTCGCGGGTCGCTGCGGCTGTGCACGAGCTGCACCACGAAACGGGGATGTGCAGTGAGCCCTGCGCCTTGGCGCTCGTCCTCCACCAACGCACCTGCACAGGGCATCACATCCCAGGCGGGGAGCTGCTGAGGAGCCTTCTGGGTCCCAGGGAACAGTTTGCTCCAGGATGATGGTGTGAGGCCCAGGAGATGCTCCCCATCCCAGTCCTGCTTGGGGGATTGAGCTGCTTGCTCATGTGGCCATGGTGTGACTGTCGCACTCTGCTCCTGCACTGGCTTTGAGCACAGACCCCATCTGCACACGTGTGGGCTGGGGCCATCCCTTGGGGTTGCAGCCAGCCCTGGAATTCAGTGCCCTTGTCCTACATGGCCTTACTGTGCCATCCTGTGACAAGGACACGTTACATGGCCAACCCCTGTAGAGTCAAACAAGACCGAGCAGCATAAACAGATCATCTGGGAAGGGAAACCACTTCCACTTGGCAGAGCCCCTCGGGTGGCAGCGGCCTGTGCTCCAGAATTAAGTGCAGAGAGTTGGGCATTAACGTCCCAGTGGCAGTTGAGTTCATGCCCGCGTTTGTATCGAGCAGGGAAGACCAGCATTGGGATGGCAATGCTCATAGATGCATTCTGTGACCCTATTTCTGCAGGTTAAAAGGCAACAGTTAACTTACCTCTTCCTTTTCAGGTTACAAACTGATCGGTAGCCACTCCGGGGTAAAGCTCTGCCGATGGACAAAGGTATTTTTTATTATTATTTTTTTTAATCTATACCCTTTTCTCTTATTATCTAGAGACTTAGATGTTAGAGTTTCCAGGTAAAAACTATTACATGCAAGAAAATATACTTTGCCTTTCATGCTGTAGTTTTACATTCCAGTCTCATAAAATCCTCATTCCAAGAGTGAGAATGTGATTGTGGCAAATAATTGGGAGCATCATTTTCTGGGTGTGTGTTTTGTCCTGTTTCCTGTTATCCCACTCGCTGCGAAACTCTGTCCTGGCCCCAGAAATAGATGGTGTGAGAAGAGCTCTGAAGAGCAAAGTGGGAAGGCAAGGGCACCTGTGCGAGCTCTTGAGAAACAAAGATAACGTACTCCTGTCAGTGCATCCAGACAGACACACAGGGACATTTAAACACTTTTTTTATTATTTTCCTGTGACTAATATAGCTGGTTTGCAACAGTCAGTGCTCCTCCGTGGGTTTTTGGCATTTGTCAAAGATTTAGAGATAAGGTAGCTGCAGTCACTTTGCCAGTGCTTGAAACTCTTAAAAATGCTCTTTGTAGGAGTGTGTCTGTATATGTGTGTGTATATACACAAGCACGGGTGTATACACATGTAGGTGTGTATATATGGGTGTTTATATGCACAGATGCACACATGATGTGTGTCTGTTTGGATAGCTTGGAGGATGGCTATGGACATGCATGCTCATCTGGCTCCTCCTGTGGACTGTGTAAACCAGCAGCTTTCAAGTAGCTTGTCTGCTGACTTGAAGCTTCAGCTATTTCAATACGTTTCTTGTTTGAACTGCTTTTTGCACGTCCCTGATCACCGATTTCAAGTTGCAGACCCCTGCTCTGCACCTCAGGGGCCTGTAATGCAACGTGTTTGTAGAGGAGCATTAATTTAACACGCTAAATTGTTCAGTACTAGCAGGGCAGGACGCTCTGAATCTGCATCTCTGTAACGTGCCAGCCTCTAAATTCTTGTGCTATGCCAGTGATCAGCATCTTTAGCTTCAGGGTTAACTTTGGCTTCAGAAAATGCTCCTTAAATGGCAAGTACCAGGCGGGGTGGCAGCAGCCAGTGTTTTTTTACCGAAATGCCTGGATTCGATGTACTGCCTCATCGTGAGACTTGCACTTTTGAACAATTTTAAGAGCCTCCTGTTGGACTCTCATGAATATTTGCAAATCTTCCCGATCCTACTGGTACTTCTGCTGTTTCCTTTTGCAGATATTTCTCGCTCCTATTGTTTTTGAAGTCTGAGAAGGCCACGAGTTATTTAAAGAAAAACTTGTCAAACTCTGTCAATGCCGTGAATGCAAAGGCAAACTGGAAAACCCGTTTGTATTAAAGAACCAGAATGTATTGCAGCACTGTAAAGTCATTTCACAAAACAAATAGGAGCTCTGTGTGCTTAGCTGGGCCAGCCCTATTTTTAGCACAAGCAGGAGTTGAACATAAAGTGCTCTAATAAATTGAGCTGGAATCAGCCACAGACGGTGGCTTTGACTCAGGTTCGTGCCGGTGTGTGAGCGTCTTCGGACGACTTGTTCCCCGTCGCAGCAGTGGAGAGCAGGAGTCGTGCAAAGTGAAGTTACATGGTGATATCTCGAGTTAAAACTGCTCTGTTTTGTCATATTCTTGAAATATATATATAAAAAATATCTGTAAATACTAGAAAAAGAATGCAGATTGGCAGGCTTTAGGAAATTCAACATGTACTTGGCTTTCCTTGAATTTATGCATCTCCTAAATTTTGCATCATTTGAGGGATGGGTCAAATAAACCTCATTTTTCACTTTGTTGAATCTTCCCACTATATAATAACGCTGCACCAATCTTAGGGATTACCTGCATACTCCTGCTCCAGGGCTCAGTGCAGAGTGCCTGGGGGCACCAGGACTCTTCAGGTAGAGGAAGAAAGATTAAAAGTTACTCTGTTCTATTTCCCATTTCCTCTGGAGAGTGGTAAGGGTTCTTTCCCCGTTATTATTATTAAACTGAGCTAATGAAAGGCAGTCTCTGCTCCAAGCAGCTTGCATGCTAAATAGAAGAGAAATTCCAATGGGAAGGCTGCTGCAGTTCTGCTCAGGAAAGGGAGAAGTCCTACTGAAGCCAATGGCTGGTGTGAATGAGAGTTTATAAGGTCAGGATATTTATTTAATTTAGCATTAGAAGAAAGTCTGCTAGACAAATGAAAAGAATTGAGTGTTAAGTAATGCAGCCTTTAAATTGATCTTTGTTATTCTCTTTACTGGACTTTTTACACTGATGTTTCTTGCAGCTTGAGTGGCTTCATCTGCTTTTTGTTGGCTGATGCAGTTAAAAGTTTCAGTAAAACGTTGTTATACATACACAATCTTATAGAAGAAGTACGAATGGTGAAGTTAAAGTTTCTTCTAAGGTGGCTGTAAATTTGACATCAAAAGTCCTTCTGTAAGGACATACAATCAGGCTGTATGCTGATCTGCTTACTGTGATATCCAACTTTTTATATTTATATATATAAAATATGAATATATGTGTTTAAAAAATGTTCTTAAAGTGGCTGCACCCATCAGTGTCCTCACCTGCTATGCACCATTGACTGGGCTGCGATATCTGTCCTAGGTGATGGTGAACGCAGAGGTTCAAACCAAACATTGCAGTTGTGCCCAGGAAGCAGGTGGCCACACGGCAGTGGCTGCAACAAGCCCTGGACACCAGCCTTGACCGTGTTTGGAGAAATGTCTGCAGGGGTTGTGGCTGATGCTCTTCTTCTGGGTCTGCCAGTCGCTATTCCAGCACGCTGGCTGCATTTGGGACCTTTCACAAGCGGCTCTGACCTTTCCATGGGTGCTTTGCTGCTCGGGTTAGTCCCTGCTGCAATCCTCCCCTGAAGTTGGTTACTCTGGAGTCAGCTTTTGCTGCTGCTTTTTTTATTCTTCTCACTCCATTTAGTTACAGTGTATTAACTTTCTTGGTGTTTGTGTCTGTCTTTGCTGTTAGTCGATGCTCCGAGGGCGAGGAGGCTGCTACAAACACACCTTCTACGGCATTGAGAGCCACCGCTGCATGGAGGCCACGCCGAGCCTGGCGTGCGCCAACAAATGCGTGTTCTGCTGGAGGTAAATCCTGCTCCTTTCCTTTGGGAGAAACCACCTGGCTGCGTAATGTAAGAGGCATGTTTAGCTCCTGGGAAAGAGGAGGAACCTGGTACTGAGAGCACCATGCACTGAGGGAAGGAAGGGAGCACCGAGTGACCCCAGGTGGCTGCTGGTGGCCATGATGCTGATCCTGGCTCTGAACCAGCGCCTGGGCTGGGCTTGGTGTTACTCTGCCGGATGCTTCCTCCCTCACAGAGGACAGTGCGACTCGTGCAGCCCTTCTGCTCGGCAAAGGGAGATGTCGCAGGGGAGCTGTGCTCTGCCAACACGCCTCCCTCTCCCATGGGCTGGCGCTTTGTGCAAAGTGCTAAAGACCTTAAATCATTCTCTATTTTAAACTCAAATCCCTTTTCTTCTTTAAATTGCTTCTCCCCCCTCATCTTCAATTTAGTGGTGTTGAAAGTGGGCACAAAGTGGTGACTTGGTAACTGCTGTCTTTCTGAAAGGGTAGCTAATAGATGATTTTCCATTTTAGTCAGTAAAACGAGCTCTTTCTCAGAGGAATTGCTTTGTTGTTAATTCTTTGAAGGAAATGAGCTTTGGATCTGCACATAAAGCTGCTCCAGCTCCGCTTACTCACCCGAGTGCCTGTGTTTGAGGGAAGCTTCCCTAGGCCGGGGGGCGCGGGGTGGCTCTAGGGAGAGCAGTAGGAGCGGTGACGTGACAGCGTTCCGAGCGGGAGGACACGGAGGTTATCCCGGGAGCTCTTTTGTCTTTGCCTTGTTAACTAATTCAGACCACGGGGGCTGCGTTTCCTTTGGTATTTATGTCTGCCCCAGGGGACTGGCTGCCAATAACCCTCATATTTCATCTCAAAGCCTGGCTGTCCAGCACTTCAATATTTTCATGCAAAAACACCCAAATTGCTCTCGTAATGCTTCCTTTCCTTCATTAAACAGTCTTCAAGTTTTAATAACGGAAATATTTCAAGGAAGTATTTGGTGACAGCAGCACTGCAAAAGTACCTCTATAATTTTGAATGCACTTTGAAGCTATCTTGCATGTTAGTGTTAAGTGTAAGCATTAGACACTGGTCATCCTATTAAATATCCCTTTGGGAACCTGTTCCTGAATGTTAATTGGTGCTCTTGCTAGGCTTTCATGCAGCGTGGCTTGAAAGGATGCAGCAAGTAGCATATTTAACGTGCAAGTTTTCCCACTGCTCTTCAGAGCATGTAATAATTTGTTGACCGGGATGAAAAATGTACTGCAGGTTTCTTGTGTCTTCCTGCATCAGCCAGCAATGGTGCAATTAATCCTGCAGCGGGAACGGCGCTGCTAGGAGTATGGCCATGTGTGGTGGTGTCCCTCTGTCTGGACCAGGACACAATAACACCACCAGAACGAAGTGTTTTGTTCCTAGGACTCCACTGCAGGCGATTTAATACTGTCCCCTTCAGAATGACTCGACTCCAATACTTCTTAGCAGCAGCAGCAGCCTGTGTCTTGAGCAGGGGGCTGAATCGGAGAAAGCAAATGAGGGTGTGTTTGGAAGTGCAATAATCAGGATAAATTGCCACATGTGGCACCTCCTGTGACTCTGACTTGTAATTTACAGCTGTCAGTTTTCACTTTTGCTGTGTTTCTAGAATTCTTAATACTAACAATAACTAATGCTAGAAAAGTTACTTGATTAATGCTAAACCAGTACGCAAGGAAGTGGCTGTCCAGAGACCCGTGGTGACAAACGCGCTGGTTCGTCG